CATCAATTTAATTTAGAATTTATATGGCTTTTTAAACTAGAATTCAAGCCGTAACTATTTTTGCATTAAAGTTGTTTGTACGGGCCCACTCAATATTGAATTTCAATTCGATGACACTAATCCCATAATTGTTCTTTTTTTAACAATTCCTAAATAATTTGACCCAAAAAAAAAAAACAAAAAACAATCCCTAAAGAATAGTTTAAATTCATTAGTGTTCATAAAATTATTAGTGTACATATATGTGAACATACATTTTTATGGTCTAATAAGAAAATAAAAAGTACAATAACTACATATTTATACAGACAAATATATATATATATATATAGATTCTTGTTGTGTATGGGCTATTCTCGGCCCTTTGCTGGGCTGAGATGTCTAGCCAGACTCCCCATCTTTGGAGCTGAACTACCCGACTCATGCTCAATTTTTGATACTCAATTCAACTCGATTTAACAAATTCTTGTCTTAATTTTTTTATGATGTCTTTGTACGCTCAGTGCTAAATGTGATACTCATGGAGATAAGTACGTGGAAAGTGCAATTCTTAAAAATTAAAACACAACGTGGAGTTTACGATGAAAGTCTTAGGGATTGTTTGGTAAAAAAGTATGAGAGGGTTTGGTAACATGGGTTTGGAGAAAATAATCTTAAGGACCCCGAACCCCATGTTTGAATTGAAATTTTAATCTTAAGTTCTCAAATCCGGCCCGTAGCTGACCCGAATATTAAATTTATGATCATGAATTTTGTCAAATCTAAGGGAGTGATGGGTTTGGAAAGATAAGTTAAGGGGTTAAGGATACAAAATACAATTATACTCCTTAATATGAGTATAAATTAGATTGATCAATGATAAAATAATTATTTATAGGACAAATAGTTGTTAATAATTATGAAAGATCTATGTGTCCTACATGTGTATGTGTTGCATACTAAATATGGGTATGAACTAAATTAAATATTGAATATTATCTTTATAAAGAGGAATTTGAGTTTGAAAAAGTTTGTCCAAACCCTTCCAAAAATCCATCTAAACAAGCACTTAATATCTAAGTTAAAAAAAAATATTGTCACCTTGACTGAATTTTGGTAAGAATAATAGTCACATGCACGGCTGATGGTGTCACTGCATAGGAAGTAAGAAGAAAATGAGTCATAGTGTCACCATTTTTCAGCTGTTTGAATGCAACTAATAAGTTAGGAAAATCCAATGTGGACCTAATTTTGAAATCTAATCAAAGGACAATTTGAATTCAAAGGTCGGTTTCATCTAACATTGTAACTCACAATTAATTTAATAATTGTATTAAATTAGATCCATAATTAAGTCTCCGAATTAAATCCTTGTAATATTACTTATGGACTAATGGGATACTTGACGTACATCTATCTTTTTTGAAGAAAATGATATCTTTTTTAAGAAAATGACTCTACCAAAAAAAAAAAAACTTTTGAATGCTAGCAACTTTGTATGCCAAGAAGATCTATATAATAAAATATTTCGGTGTTTTAAATTTTATTTCATACATCACATTAGCTATTTTTATCACTTATTTAATCATTTAATATTTGATTAATTTATAATTTAACATAATTTATATTTTAAATATTATTTATACACAATAATATACACATGTTAATGTTGGGATTTCACACGATTTAAATCCACTAACAAACACACACAATCGAAGAACAAATCAAGAATATAAAGCAATAAGAAACAAGAAATAACAAGACACAGATTTTACGTGGTTCGACAATTTGCCTACGTCCACGAAGCTGCAAGGATTTCACTATTGAGAGAGTTGAATACAGAGAGCGGTTGTACAATCCACGATTAACTCTAATCACCAAAACAACAGGGTTTATATGTCCTACGCACTGGGCTGTATAACGGGCCCAAAAAAATTTTCCTTCGCTCCATGGACTAAGCCTCAGAAAATTTTTCATTAAAAACCACACAACATTACTTTAGGTCGGGTCATCATCCGGATCACATATACAAACTAGACTCCATAAAAAAAACCAACAGTTAAAAAAAAATTATCAGATTACAGATTTTTGTTGATATTTTTTAAAAAATAATGGGTAAAATAAATTTTAAACGATAGAGTCAAATAAATTAAGAAAAAACAATTATTAAAAAAAATTTATATTTCATTATACTTTCATGTTCGGGTGAGTTATTAACTAAAATACTTATATTATTGAGCTGATTGACAATGACTTTAACCTTATCCACAATTGTACGTACATTGATTTCGACTTTTTCTTTGATTTGGTTACATATTCGGCCAATGGACGCGTATATACTAGCGTGAATTCTTGTTTAACTAATAAAGTGTCAAAATCCAAGGTATTTGACGGATGAAAATTAGATTGAAACTACAATATTTCATTCACTTATACAACTTGGGTTTTGTATAGTCACAAAAGTCAATAATTGCAAAAGATTGGGTAGAGTAATAAGAAAATCTTGTACATTATATTGATCCTCATTTTTATTTGATGGTAAATCATCTATCGTTAGAGACGGATTCGTATATGAAAAATACTTTTGCGTTGTATAGGCACATATTTAAATTTTAACGCTTAACTTACAATGAAACAATCTGACTACGGTTTCAAGGCCCCACGTTTTACGAATCTATGACATGGTATTGTATTGATGTAATAGAAGTCATAACACAATCATGTGTATTTTGGAATTTTAAGGATCACGCCACATGAAAACCAAAATCACCTTAATCAATAGTTATGGATGAGATTGAAGTCACTATCATTCCATGCATATAATTCAAGCTTCCACTTCACATGTAAAGAAAAACTTGTTACTAGAATAGACCCTTCTACAAAAAAATGTGTTGGAAGAAAATGATCGCAAATTGGTAAGGTTTTGGTACAAGATCACTGTCAATTTAAGTTATTAATTTCAAATTAAATTATTTGATTGGAGACATTAGTCTAGTTGTGTTAGTCTAGCTATATTCGTTCTTGAGAAGAGTAACAGGCGCAGTCAGAGTCATGATCCCGTCAGTGAAAGCTTATTGGGGTGGTCTTTGGGTGTTCTTCTTTACCTTCACCCCTTTTTTCAATAGCGAAAAAGAAAGAAAAGAATGATTTTCATTGGAAAATGATAAAACCATTTATAGAAAGAAAATTCTAATGCTTGGTGGATTGGGAGGATCAGAGACATGGGCATGTCTTGTAGGGGTGGGTGGTCATGGATTGGGCTTGATTATATATGGACCTACTAGCTTGGTCATGTGTGGGCTCACACACCCTGGGCCAGGCTTTTTGTTGAAGATGAAAAGGTGGTTCAGGCCCAATCCAAATTGTGTTTTTCATAAAATGAAACATCGGAAGAGTGGAGGCTAAAAAAATAGGTCCCACCGAGATTTGAACTCAGGTTACTGGATTCAGAGTCCAATGTCCTCACCACTAGACCATGGGACCCTTTGTGCCACATTTTAAAATTTCAGAATTATTATTGTAGCAAACCAAGAAACCCAAAAAATTATTTATGATTTGATCGGTTACACCACATGACGGCAGTAATGTGATATAATTATTATGTTGAGTATTTATTTATTCTAACAAAACCCATTTTGAATTCTCCAAGTTAACAAAGCGCAAGGATAATTGAGATTGATTCTATCTTCATCCAATTTCATCCAAAAATTAATATTTCATCTTTCTAAAAAATTATTTTGCCCAAACTTAAAAATCCTCCCAATACTTGGCACACGGCCCAATGTCGAGCACCCATTATTCACCCCAATTCTTCTATAAGCTACAATCTTATTTTTAAATCTGTTTATTGTTAGTTTTTAGAGCAATTTCAACCATGTTATCTAAAATAGCTACTCAAAATATATTTAAATATTGTATTATCTATTTTAGTTAATTACTTTTTCAAATTCACTTAAGCAACGCTATCTATTTTAGCTAACTATTTTAACTAACTTTCAATAATAAAATTTAAAAAATAGCAATTCAACTATACATTGTATAAATTTAATCAATTATGAGCTATAAGAATAAATATCATGAAAGACGAGCGACAAGAGTAAATATCATAAAATGTTTAGGGGGTTTTGTTGAATTTTTTTGGAGGTTTTACTAAATTTTTGGGGAGTTTTGATGGATTTTTGAATGGGTTTTATTGGATTTTTAGAGGGTTTAACTGAATTTTAACTGTCAACTCATCATGTTTCTCATTTTTTGGACTTAAATACAGAGTTTCTGAGAGAGAGAGAAAGAGAGAGAGAGACCATACCACGATGAAAATGATGTGAAGAGCTTCTATTTTACAGAGGCCCCAAACCCCTGTCGATTTAGACGATGAAACCTTTTGTGGACTGAGCCTTTGCGATGAAGTCTTCTAATTTTACAACTTCTGTTGGTGGAGCCTTTTGTGAAGAACTCTCTGTATAGTTGAAAAAGACAATCAACGAAGGAGACTGAAATTAGGGTGTTCTTCGCCGGTCAGCCAAATGAAGGTTATACGAAATAGTTAATGTGATAGTTAGTCTGTTGGAGATAATATTTACGGACTGCCTCTGTAAAATAGCTAAAAAGAGTGTTTTATTGAGATCTTTGGATTGCTCTTAGATGATTATTAAAATTCTATTGTTTCATCAATTTTATGTGTAAAACAAAAACGTGGAGTCATAATCAGACTTTAAGAATATTTCCTACAAGGTTTTGTACACGTTTTTGTTTGATAATGAGTCCACGGTTGTAGAACACAGTGCACAACAAAAACACATATCACACAACACACACCCACCCACCCACCCACCCACCCACCCACCCACCCACACACAACCCCACAGAGTCTGTTTTTCAGGTGCGACCATAAGGTGTTTGGCAAAATGTCTGTAAAGAATGTAGATGTTTTTCAATTTTATTGCAACCAAACTTGGTTGTGTATTTCTCCATCGCATATTTGCTTCTTGGTATTAGACTAATTATTAGTTACATTATTTCTTTGCGCTGTTTTTGTGTTTATCCACAATCGAAACACCCACATAGCTTAGAACACACCCACACGGTTCACTTCACACACGCACAACACACAAGATATTTTTTGCTTTGCTTATATGAGCTGAAATTTTGCTCCTTTCTTTTTCAGAGAACATCTACATGAGAACGGAGAGTGGGTTATCACTTTCCACCACTGCACAATCTCAAGAACCACTGCAAATTTCTGTCTCTGTGTGTGGTTGTGTGTATGCGTTGGTCTTTTGTGACTGCTACTTTTCATGGTAAAGTGGAGGGGAAAAGTTAGTTGGACTCTCTCCTCGAACATCCCTCCCCACTCCCGTAATGATACCGTGTCCAAAAAAACTCAACCGGGTCTCTCTCTCTCCCTCTCAGAGCAGGGCTTGGTCGTCAAAATCTCATCTTGTAAGTTCTTCCACCAAGAAATACCTCAGTTCTTTGATTATAGATACGTCTCTCTGCGCTTGTGTGTCTAGGTTAGTATGTTTATTTGTAAGGCTCTAATTTGATAATTGATATGCTATTAATTTTTCCATTTTTTCAGATTCTGTTTAATAGCTTGTTCTTCTTTTAGGGTTCTGTTTGTTTCCCAGAAACGTTTTCTGGGGATAGGAGTTATTATTTTGTTTTTGGGAAAATGGACTATGTTCTGCTTAATTCTTGAACCCATTTTTGATAGCTGTGTAATCTTATTCATTTCTAGTGGGTTTAGAGTTGTCCTTTTTTTTTTTTCAATTTTTTTTGAGTCTACTGTTCAACTTTTTTGCAATTTGAGCTATAAAAGCACCGTTGTCATATGATGAGGAAGTAGTAGAATTTCCATATGACTTTATACTGGACTTCCAGTACCCAATTATAAATCAAAGCAAATAAACGTTTAATTTGCAAATTTGTGCACCAATTTGGCTTGAATTCTATATGAATTTTCTCTCTAACTAGGTTTTGGCATTCAAATTAGTCTATTTAGGAAGTTGAACTCAGAAAAAGCAAAACCATACTCATTTATATTTAGGGACTCCCCAGTAGAATCATTCACATGGTTTGCATTGATCATATATTGGTAATGAGCATGGACTCGTTTAGTGGCTGATATGGTGTAGTGATGGTTTCAGTAGTTGTCTTGCTTTGCACATGATGTTGGCTAAAACATGATTGATATGCAAGTGATACATTCCCTTTGCATATTTCAGAAGACAAATTTGTTTCATTTTCTAAGAGGGTATGTTATGTCCCTATTCATTCCCCTATTCTGTATGAGGCTTTTAATATCTTTCTTTCCTGGTAGTCTCTATATCCATAAACGAGTTAATCCACCCTTAGTGTTCAGAATGTGGTTTGGCTTATCGATATTAACATGCATTTTGTGTGTTGTGTTGGTAATTTTAAGCATCTGCTACTGTTACCTGTCTTTATGAAAGTTGTTAGTGATTTGATTATAATATTTTATTTTCTAAGCAGTTTGAACTTGCAACATATTGATTGACATGTGTTTTTCCTTTTCCAATTGAGGTGTATGCTCTCTGTGGAGTAATTATCCCCCCCGCCCCCCCTTTTTTTTTCTCTATTTAGGTCAATTCATTTTCCACATAGTTAGTCCCTAGGGCAAGCAAGAATCTAAATTTAGTTTCATAAAATTTTCAAAAACAAAGGAAAATTTAAAATTTGTTTCTGAAACACTGGTTGACACATCTCGGAACATTCCGCAATACCTCGATACGTAAAAATTTCAATATTCAATCACTGATTCGTTTTGGTCTCGATGGAAACCTAAACGTTTGGTTTGGTTCGGTTCGGTTCGGTTTGAGTGCAAAAAATGAGGAATGCTATAAGTACATAACCATGCTATAAGGTTGAATCTAGAGGCTTGATCCTAGAGAAATAATTGATTAATTCCAAAATTTTGTAGGTTTGCTTATATTTTGAAGAAGTCAGAGTAATTTCTTCAGATGGTTTTCACAATGGAAACAAACTGTAGAATCAGAAAAGGGAAATGTGCCCTATACCTTAGGTAATCTTTAAATTGTTGCTGAAGTTTAAGTACATCACTATGCCCTTTCTCGCTAGCAGGAGCCCTATTTATCTCCAATTTCCAGTCGGAATAAAGCAGGTTAGCCTTGAGTTTCTTCAGTAATTATGTTGTGATTTCCAATGCCCTTTTGTTATACTTTTTTATTGTGATCTAAATTTTCTGTATGACGTATCCAGATAAGGATCTTTGGAGTAGATCCCTTGTTATGGTTCACGCATTTGAAGGCAACAGGGTTGACCGTGAAGGAAAGTAGGAATACCGTATGGTTCCTAACTTCCTCTTTTCGTGTTACTTTTTCTTATGAAGTTTCTCATGTACTTGGTTCTTTAGTTCTTGGGGTTTTTCTCTTTAAAAAAATTCCTGTCAATATGTAGATGAGGAGCATCTCCCCTGTCAAGTGCTCCCACAATCGGTCTGGACAACCTAATTCCAATCATGTTGAAAAGTAGGTTATTTTTCTTCCTCCAAACACTAGCACCATTTCCATAAGTCTTGAGCGTGTTACTTAGCTGTATCACTTTGTCTACTAGAATTATTTTTCCTTAGAAAATTGGTCAGCCCTTCATTCTATTGCCTGTATAATTTGTTTCCTTTTCTGTTCAAATTACTGCAAACTTTCTCTTAATGTGGAATGCACGAAAATGATCAGGAATGCAGGAAAGAAAGAACACCATTTATGGAAGAAAAGAGATTCAACTAGCTCTGGGCAGAAGGCACTCAATCTTGTTCGAATTGTAAGTATGATCCATCATATCTCACTGTTCACAGAACCCTTTCTGCATTTTTGAGCTTAGGCAATTCCCTAAAATATTTATTACCTGGTCTAAGTGGGATCAATATGAGAATATGTGCAATTCCAAAGTATATGAACTTAACACAGTTTGGATGCCGCTCAAATTCTATCTGTAATCCTCGAACTGGCAGGTTTCTGGACTTCCAAATGAGAAAGAGGCTATTTATGGAGCACTGGATAAATGGACAGCTTGGGAAACTGAATTTCCATTGATTGCAGCTACTAAGGCTCTACGAATTTTAAGGAAAAGGAACCAATGGATACGAGTAATTCAAGTATGGCACATTCAAAACTCTTTTCAAATTGTTGAGCTTGTGCAGAGGCCTATGTGTGATGACATGCTACAACTTATGCAATTTTTGTTCTTAAGTTGCTTTTTGAACTTGCGCTAGGGGGGGAAGGATGCCCAAGGTGTTGAAATTTCTGCATACTTCCATTAATATTATTATAATGCATTCGTATTGTAACTTGTGTTTTTTGGTCAAGTTCATCGGGTCCATCCCCTGGTTTACACTAACTGATTCGTAGTTGGCAAATCTGAGAACCCTGGTTGGTCCACATTCATCCTTAAGTTAAAGCTATGCCCTGCACATCCCGAAGCCATAATTGGTTGTCATAGCCCTATCAAACATCAGCTGACTGTTAAATTTTGTACTGCATTTTAGGATAGATTTTAATTTCTCTTTTATTTTTTTTATGTGTTTTCAATATGGACTTACAAACAGATCTCAACTGGGTTGATGAGGTTCAGTTTGGGTAAGCAGGCTAGTATTGAGTATTTGAAGCTGATAGCCGAATTATGTTGACTTGGTCCTGGCTAATGCAACTTATCAAAAAGGTGGTACCTTAACTTCTCAGGGTTCTTAGAGCAGTCATGCTCTTGATGGCTAGTTATTAGATATGCTTGAAAAAGTCGAAAATTGCTTAATTTGGAAAGCAAGTTTGTTAAGTTTGGAAGATTAACATAATATTAGAGATAATATTTAGGGAGAAATAGAGAAGACAATATTTAGGGAGAAACACAGAGAGGTTAAAAAACTTAACCTAGCTCTCATACATCACTTGTATTTATATTTAACTCACAATAAAAAGAATTACACATACACTCTCTTACTATTAATAATTTATACATACTACCTTACTATTCTTAACACTCTCCCTCAAGCTGGACTATATATATCATATGATCCAAGGTTGGAATAAATGGTTGTAAGACGTGTACGATTCAATGCTTTGGTAAACATATCTACAAGCTGATTTTCAGATTTCACAAATGGAGTTATAATCTCCCCAGCTATTATCTTGTCTCGAATAAAGTGACAATCAACCTCAATATGTTTAGTTCTCTCATGAAACACTAGATTAATAGCGATATGGATAGCTGTCTGGTTGTCACAGAACAACTGTAAAGGAAGTTGAACTGAAAACCCAATTTCTTGGAGGAAGTATAGTAGCCAAGTCAACTCACTCATCGTATGCGCCATTGCCCTATACTCAGCCTCAGCACTGGATCTTGCTACCACGGATTGTTTCTTACTTTTCCATGAGACAACGTTACCTCCTAAGAAAGTACAATAACCGGTGGTTGATCTCCGATCAGAAGGGGAGCCAGTCCAATCAGCATCTGAGAAATCTTCCACTCTAAGATGTCCATTAGCTCGATATAATAGTTCAAGTTCAGGAGCACGTTTGATATATCACAGAATACGAGTAACTGCCTCCCAATGTGGTACTCTAGGACACCCCATGAACTGACTTATTATACTGACTGCATAGGAAATATCCGGTCGAGTAGAGTAATAGTGAGATAATTGAGCTTTTCAACCAATCTGCGATACCGACCCGAATTCTCAAACAACGCACCATCATCCATGAAGAGTTTCTAATTCGATTCTATAGGAATATCAATAGGTTTACCATCCAACAAACCTGCTTCCTCTAACATGTCAAGTACATATTTTCTCTGGGATAAACAAATACTCTGTTTAGATCGAGCCACCTCAATACCTAAGAAATACCTGAGTTTTTTCAAATCCTTAGAATTGAAAACGATCTTGCAAGAATATTTTTAATTTGACAATTCCCTCAGAATCATTTCCAGTAATCACAATATCTACACAGACCACCAATAAAACATATCCAGCATCTGTTTGTCTATGAAACATAGAATGATTTGTTTGACATCGAAGAAGACTGAATTCTAAAATTGCATCTGAAAACTTACTAAATCATGCCTTCGGTGACTGCTTCAAACCATACAAAGATTTTTATAACTGACATACACTCTTACCATACTTTCCCTGAGCAGTAAACCCAAGTGGATGCACTATGTATACCTCTTCAACTAAGTCACCATGTAGGAAGGCATTTTTGATGTCTAACTGAAACAAGGGTCAATCAAGATTAGCAGCCAAAGAAATCAAGATACGAATAGAGGAGATTTTGGCAACAGGAGAGAAAGTCTTCTCATAATCAACACTATAGGTTTGAGTAAAGCTCTTTGCAGCAAGTCGGGCTTTGAGACGCTCTACAGAACCATCCGGATGTAATTTAACAGTATACATCCAACGACAACCAACAGTTCGTTTACCAGGAGGTAAAGAAATGAGATCCCAAGTCCCATTATGATGTAAGACATCCATCTCATCCTCCATAGCTTTCCTCCAATCTGGATCAAATAATACATCCTGTAAATGCTTAGGAATAGATGTAGTAGATAATTGAGAGATAAAATAAGAGAAGACATGAGACAAGGCATCATATGAAACAAAATGAATAATGAGATAATTAGTAACACACGAACGAGTACCTTTTCGAAAAGCAATAAATAGAGAGTTTAAATTACCTGATGAATCAAGATCCGCAAACGGCAAGGAAGACGGTGCGAGCACCTCCGGCGATGGGCGAGGATGGCGAGACTAGACACGGAGAGGTAAAGTAGATGGTAACACAGTGGGCAGCGGAATATCTGAAGATGAGGAAAGAGAGGGTAGTGTCGGAGATGACCCAAAGTCCATATTCAAAGGTTGAAAAGGTGCTAAAAAATATGGAACAGATTCCTCAAATGTGACATCGGCATTAGTAAAGTATCAGCGTAGAGAAGGACTGTAGCAATGATACCCTTCTTGCGTGCGAGAGTAACCAAGAAATATACATTTGATAGCTTGAGGGTCAAGTTTGTCAAACCCAGGACCCAAATTGTGAACATAACAGACACATCCAAAAATCTTACGAGTCAAGAAAAATAAGGGTTTACCAGGAAAAAGAACAGAATATGGACTTTGCCATTTTAATACAGAGGATAACATACGATTAATAAGGTGACAAGCAGTAAGAACAACATCACTCTAAAAATATCAGAGAATATTCATCTGGAATAACAGGGCATGAGTGACTTCCAACAAATAACGGTTTTTGTGTTCAACAACACCATTTTATAGAGGTATAAGCACAAGAAGTCTGATAAATAATGCTAGTTTTACTAAAATAAGTTAAAAAATGATCAGATTTATATTTTCGAGCATTATCAGAATGTAAAGTACGTATACGACAGCCATACTGAGTTTTTATTTCCTTACGAAAGGTCTCAAATATAGAGAATAATTCAGACCGGACTTTCATAAAAAACAACTAAGTCACATGAGAATAGTCATCCACAAATGTTATAAAATAAGGATATTTATTAGATGAAATATTCTTTATGAGACCCCATACATTAGAATGTACTAATTCAAATGGACTAGACACACAATTATTGACTTTAGATTGAAAAGACACACGGTGATGCTTACTAAGTTGACAAGCTTCACAAGACAAAGATGATGCATAACTAAAACTGGGAACTTGACACTTCAGATTCTGGAGAGAGGGATGTCCAAAACGACAATGTAATTGAAAAGGAGACAACGAGGTTTGTAGAGCTTGGGTAGGTGAATCAAAGTCAAGGTGATATAGGCCATTAGCTTCATGTCCCGTACCAATCTTCCTCTTCGCCTTGAGATCCTGAAAGACACAATAAGAGGGATAAAAAGTTACTTAACAATTCAGAGAACGGGTAATCTTACTAATAGAAAGTAAACTAAAAGGAAACTTAAGAACAAATAACACCGAAAATAGGGATTTATCAAAACTCAAGTGAGCAGTTCCTAGACCTGAAACTTTAGAACAAGTATCATTAGTAAGAATAACGCTACGTGTGGAAGTAGCAGACTGATAAGTAGAAAAAATATTAGACGCACCAGTCATATGGTCAGAAGCGCCAACATTTATGATCTAGGGACTGCGAGTGGAAGACAATAAACAAGTGGAAGCAATACTTTACTGGGCAAAAGTAGCAGTGGAGGGAGATGGGATAGCCTGTTGCTGGGATAAGAACTGAGCATACTCTTCTCGTGTAATAGTAACCAACCCAGTGTCTTGCTTGGGTTCCATAAGTGTAGCAAATAGAAAAATAAAATTAGTAGATTATTGAACCGGACAAGAATCACCTACTGCACTGCTGAACCAGAAGAAAAACGGATACCAGAGGGCTGAACCGGACAGCCTGATGGCACTGGCCTGATGAACCGGACAATCTAAGGCCGCTGGACCACTGAACCAGGACTAACTTGGATTGTGAACCACTGAACCAGGACTAACTTGGATTGTGAACCACTGAACCAGCAGAACCCTTGATTGGGTTGGGTTCTTTTAAAACACCAATGGACTGGGTCTTTTAACCAGAAGAAGATACCCAAGTGCTGCTGGGTACTCGTCTTCCTAGCGAGACCCTAGCAACAATCCTCTGTAACCCTAGCTTTAGTTGGCGTGAGATAGAAAGCAACTCGGGCAACAACAGCGATCTGAATGGGCCTTGGACTTCTTCGCGAGGCCCTGGTGATCTGAAAAGAGAAGCCCAAGCTTATAACACTAAGAGTCATTTGTCTTCTTTGAAGGCCTAGTCACAGAAACCCTAGCAACGCTAGCAACAGCGAGACGTAGGCACCTTCGTCGACTAATTCAAACACAACCAAGTTTTCTGATGAGAATAAGGCACCAGATAAACCTATATGCAACAAACTTCCACCGGAGATACAATTGTGCACTGCGCCTCCATGAACCACAACGAGGAAGCTCTGATAATCACTCTTTTAGAGCTCCATGAATAGACAAACACCACCACACCAGTCCACAACAGTACCACCACCACCACAAGCTATCGACAAACACCACCACACCAGTACCACAATAGTACCAACGAACAAAAAATTAATTTATTAAGAATATATGTTTATGATCGTAATGTTCTGATACCATGTTAAGTTTAGAAGATCAACATAATATTAGAGACAATATTTAGGGAGAAACAGAGAAGACAATATTTACGGAGAAACAGAGAGAGGTTAAAAAACTTAACCTAGCTCTCATACATCACTTGTATTTATACTTAACTCACAATAATAAGAATTACACATACACCCTCTTACTATTAACAATTTACACATACTATCCTACTATTCTTAACAAAGTTTATGGAAATTGTGTTTCAAATATAATATTAAAAATTTGAGAGTATTACAAATCAGAGATACTTGGGTTGAGACTTTGGTTGAGTCACTGTCTTGTTTGTTGTGTGGATGGCTTAATATGCCAAATAGTATCAAGTGTCAGCAACATATGCATGTGATATGTGGACTTGGGAAAATGTGCTGAACTGTGAACATGTGAAGAGCTCTGTGGTTGTAATGTTGGGAGCATAACATGTGGAATGATCTTGGTGCATAATCATATTAGATGTACTACATGTAGCGAAATCGGCTACATGACATTTTATTGGGTTTCTGGCCACTGATTCTCAGTGCTACTCAGGTGGCCAAGTGGATGTTGAGCAAAGGTCAAGGAGTGACAATGGGAACATATGACATCCTTCTACAGGCATTTGATGTGGATCGAAGGGTAGAGGAAGCAGAAATATTATGGAACATGATTCTGCATGCACATACCCGCTCTGTCTCAAAGCGCTTGTTTTCTCGAATGATCTCTCTGTATGATCATCATAATATGCCAGATAAGATTATAGAGGTATCTTAGAAACTCTCCAGGCTAGCATCTATCCCAAATTCCTGCTAGTATATTTACTTTGGGTGCATGCACTAATTTTCTGAACTTCTGCATATTAGCAAGCCTCTATACACAAAATGTGCCTGTTGGTGCTAAAAAGGCAATCTTTTCATGGAAAAATTTCAGGTATTTGCGGATATGGAGGAGTTAGGCGTGAAGCCTGATGAAGATACTGTAAGGAAAATTGCCCATGCCTTGCAAAATCTAGGGCAGGAAGACAAGCAGAAACTTTTCCTTAAAAAGTATCAGAGTAAATGGAAATATATCCATTTTAAGGGCGAAAGGGTTAGGGTAAGAACAGATGCATGGAATGAATAGAGTTGTATAGACTTGGTCCATGGATAAAGGTTGAACCAAAAAATTGGCACCAGGGACTCTTGGAATAGAAACCAACTTGCCATTCATCTTCTTATCATGTTGGTCTTGACACATCACTGATTGCAATCCCAGAAAAAGGTGCTATTTTGACCCGTTGATCCATATTAATGCCCGATCTTTTGCTCTACCAATGAATCAATGATACAGACACACACAAGAAAATGGGGCAAGATATGGTTGCTTGACATGGATCTTTAACTGTAAGAATCTGACACTACCATTGTTGCATTTAGAGCATGTTCTGGAACTGGGAAACAGAATCAATCCTTGCAAAAGAGTCCATTGTATGCGATTCTGGGGCAATTGTCTTTCTGAAGAATTGATCTTAGTCGTTTAGTCTTGGTTGAATTGCCAATGTTGCAATTGCCACTCTGAAGTTAGTGGTGGCGATGACTGCATTGACAATGGCTCAACACTACCAACTGAGCCAATCCATTTCACAGAGATGCACCAATTTCACTTCAGTTTTGTCTAATGTTCAGGGAGCATGCAGTTCACGGATCTAGACCCTTCTAGTATATTTTTTTCCTCAATTTCATTCAAAGGGACGTTACTCCCCATGCCTTTGCGGGGATCCACTTCATATGGTAGGTCTCACTTCAATTCAATGATGTATCACTGAAAGAAATTGAATAAAATGTATTGGACAGGTTCTGAATCTACAGTTCACCGTTGCAATGTTATTAACCTGGTCACAAGCTGACTGTGGCTACAAGGTAAACTTTTGTACTTCATCCAAGACTAGAAAATGAGACATGCTTGAAAAGAGAGAGAGAGAGAGATTCTACATCATTCAGAAATCTCCAATTACTCAATGCGGTAGATCTGTACATTTTCTTTCATAATCCTATGCTTAGAAAACTATCAATAAAAAAGAGAACTAAGAAAATCCAAAGCAACTACGCCAACGATACTGCCATGGGACTTCGGACATGATGGATTCCATCGGTCCAAGTGTACCATCCGAATGCATATTCGTCTTTGCCCATCGTGCTAGCCGATTCACTAGTTGCTTCCACAGTAATGGTGAATTTCTTCTTCTCTCCAACTTTGTTAAAGACTAGTATAGGTGGAGAGACCTTGACAGAGAATCCCAATGGCGGTTTAACGCTAGCAAAGTACACGCTCTTAGGCCCACCGACATTTGTGACCGTTCTCTCCACCGTCACAATGCCATTGAGCTTGGGAATGGAAAGGGATGGATAGTTGAGATTGTTAGGTGAAGGTGGATTTTTAGGACATTTAAAGGAAGGGTCCATGGTATCGAGTCTGCTACCACAAAGGAAGAGAAGGTAGTCAGTATACGAGGCGTCGTAGACTAGTCCAGGATCAGCTGCCATTGTTGGCCGGAAATGACCCGAGCCGAATTGGAAGGGATCTGCCGGATTCCCCAATGCATCGGTTATTAGCCTACCCTTGTTGTTGGTCATTGTAGCTGCAATGTAGATATGGAACATTAGAACAAAGAGCATTGGCAGTAATATAAAAGTAGCTCAATAGGGTATGAAACATAGGATTATGTGACACTTGAGTAACAAACATTCACAACTACTCTATGTTTTGTACATGAGTGAGGTTGACAGACCCATTTTCTTGAACTAATGTCTATACTTGAAAACTTGGATGACCAAACTCCTGATAAAATGGATGTACTTCTCCCTCATCCAAGGATCAAGATTATTTCACATTCCCAAGAGGACCGAAACACTATGATTTCAGTGACAACCAGAACGAAACCGTGATTCAATATCAAAATTTCTATGTTTCACTGTTTCAGTGTGTTTGAGATATATTGGCTAGTGCTTTAGATGGTTTTAGAATTGAAACTCCAAATTATTTTGCCTCCAATATTCTTTCGACACATTTTTGAAACATTATCGAATTTTTCTGTTTCAAAGTTTATAGTGAAATGTGAAAATAAAATTGTTTTGTACATGAGTGAATTCTGGTGTGCTTCACTTTCCACCAGGCTTCATGCCCAAATTGTTGTGTAATGCTCTGGCTCAATCATGTAATTTGTGGATATTATGGCATTAGACATGATCAATAAAGCAAGTAGATAAGTAGTACCAAGACTCAATCTAAAGCCCGAAAAGTGTTATGTACCTGAGGTCATAAGAGCAGATCTTATAGCAGCACTGCTCCAGTGGGGATGTATAGACTTGATAAGTGCAGCTGCAGCAGCCACATGAGGGCATGACATAGAAGTCCCTGAGTCAAGGTTATACTGCACTACTCTGTGATCACTTGCCTTCTTTGTAGGGGATGATGCCTCACTCCATGCTGCCAATATATTCAGCCCTGGCGCCGTGATATCGGGCTGTCAAGCAACCCAACCAAAAAAAAAATCAGAAATTCGAAATTACCTCAATTATCATGTTCCTCAATCACTTTGCCTCGTACATTATGTGAAGTAATTGAGGTGCCAATGCAAAAAATTTAATACTTCAAGGGGCAAAGTGCAATTGAATCCATAGTTAAGGGGGTCAAAATATAATTTTTACGGTAAATAAATCAGCTGGATTGATGAGTTCTCTTAATTGTAGATGTATTAAAATGGTGTCAATAACCTTGAGGATGCCAGGTGAAATAGTGCTTGGACCACGACTGGAGAAGGAAGCCATGAATGGAGTTGGCTTGTAATGTATTTTTGTTCTTGCCGGGGTGATATAACCCATCGGATTCTTGGCAGAATTGATGTATTCAAGGATTTTGATTGCATTGTCTGAATTTACATCAGTTGCAGGAAGAACATGAGTATCATCCTGTATCTCGGCTCCATTTGCCGGGTTGTTTCCTAAGATAAAGCCAGAACCTCCAGCCCTTTTCACCTCTTCTCCTTTTCCAATTCTTGTTCCTTGTCCTCTCAAGCACATCACAATCTTTCCCTTTGTTTTCTCTGGTGAGAGAGACCCTGGTAGGCATTGCCTGAAAATTTTCAATGATCAGAAAATCAGTATGGAAAATGTTTATAACAATAGAGAAAATGTCAAGAATTGAAGAAAAAGATTACCCTGCAGCATTTTTTGGCACGTCAGGGTTTACTACTTGTGCTGCATAGACTAGGGGGTACATTTTTCTCTTCAGCTTGTATGTAGTTAGTGTGTGTCCCTGATATTGATTAGGTCAACAAGCTAGTGAAACTCAACAAAGACACATCAACATATCATACAATTTACCATTTTTTCATTTCACTACAAAAAAAAAAAAAATAGCAACGACCCCTTTCATTACTTCAATTTTTTAAGGAATCGTCGTTCTATTAATTGTGTTACATAGTCTCTTAATCGAACAGGTGCCTTCCATGAC